CGCGCGTCCCCACCTGCGAGGCCAGGTACCGCTGGGGGCGCCGATCCCCAGCCCACGGGCACCGGGCGGGCCGAGTCCTAATGTCCACCCTCCAGTCCATAGCCGGGCTCTGGGCAGCTCTGGTCGCCCGCCCTGCCTCAGGCAGGCGCCCCAGCCTCCGGGTGCGCTCGGGACTCGGGTCTAGTGATCCGCCAGTCAGGACTCAGCTCTGAGCTTAGCTAGGTCGCCTCGGGGCGTCTCAGTAGGGCCGGCGGGGGCGGCAGGAGGTCCGAGGCACCCGATGAGCTTTCCGAGGCACGGCCCGCAGGGACCGGCTGGAGAGGGCCCCGGAGGGGAGCCTAAGAGGGACTGAGAGCAGGCCCTGGAGTGTTGCCCCGACGGGCGCCTGACAGGCAGATCGGCCCGGCTGGCACGCAAGGACTCCGGGTATATTTATCCCGGCTGCGTTGGGCAGGGGCTGGAGGGCAGATCCGGCCGGGCCTCCTGAGGGGCCGTGGGGCACATGTTGGTCCCACAGCCCGTGCCATTTGCAGCCGGGCCGGCGAGCACGGCGGGCACAGGGTGCTTGTAGCTCCCTGGTCTAAGGCCGAGGCTATACGTGCGCTCCGCTCCGCGGGCGCGGACGGGTGGTGCGAGATGGCCCCGCGCATCCGCGGAGGTTAAGGACCTGGACTCGGTTTGCAAGAGCCCGCCCCGCCCCATTGGCCCCTTGGATTGGCCACAGCGAATGCGTGCGTTTGTTTACACCCCGGGAGGGGGAGGCCGGGGGCGGGGCCTAGGGGGATCCACCCTCTCCCCCCCAGCGACCTGAGCCCTGAGCCCAGGTGTAGGCTCTAGGATGGGTCTGAGGGGGTCTAAGTCAAAGATCCTTGCACTGTGAGGCACATCTTGACCCCGGCCCATTCTTCCATCAGCCTGCCGGTCCTGTCCCTTCCATGACTTCCTTGGGCCACTGTGCTGTCCCTGGGAGAGGCTCTTGGACCTTCCACTCCTTCCTCTTCAGTTCTCTGTCTATAGCATGGGGGCTCAGTTCCTTCTGGAAAGAAAGCAGATCCCTCAGAGGTTCTCAGTCTGGATCATAGAAAGCCGGAGCGATCTGGGGACAGTTCAATTTTGCGAGGGGGAGATCCTGCACAACCATGGAAGGCTTCCTGCAGGAAGCACCAAAGGTGGGAGGAATCGGGGATAGACGAGGCCAGGCCTGGCACGTCTCCAGGAGGGCTGGAATGACTAGAAAGCAG